CTTTAGGTCCAAAGGCACCTGGAAACAGCCCGTGCCTGTGGGGTGAGCATCAACCTCGCCAGGCAGCAGGGGACCCCAGACCCCACCCTGTGGGACATGAGAAGGGGAGCACGGGGCTGTTGGAGGACCTTCGTCTGGCTGTCGAGCCCTCCCCAGCTGCGCCCTTCCCCCGGAGGGGGGCTTGCCTGGTTCCCAGTGGAGTCCCAGCGGCACCTCCCAACCTACAGCTCCGCAAGGCCCCCGCTGAGGCCCCCCTGCACCCCCAGCGCGCCAGCCTCTGAGGGCTAGTCCGGTCTCTGGGGCGGATAATTACGCTCGGCTCGCCTGTTCGCCCCTCGTTTCAAGTTTGTTTTCTAAACGTCTATTAGATTATATTCGTCCATTCCCCCTCCAACCTTATCTCTCCCTGTCTCTTCTCCCCTGGCCCCGTCACACTCGATTTAGGCGCGAGTTTATCTGGCACACGGCATCGGACCTGGTGTGTTTGCCGGGGGTTCTGGGGCTGCCAGCGAGCGAGCGCCAGTGTTTGCCTTTGTAACAGTTATCCCATTGTTGTTCTTCTGGGTCCCCGCTCCCTCCTCCCTCTCTCCCCTTCAGCTGGGGGGGGGGGGGGAGGTGGTGGAGGAAAGAAAGGGGGCATCTTGTCTGTCCCGCCTAGACTCGCCGGGAGCAGCCGCCTCTCCCGGGATCTTCCTCGCCAGCACAGCCGCCCCTCCCTCCCCTTGGCTCACCCCTTCCCCCCCATCCCATCCCGCGGGCCTCAGCCTCGGGTTTCACGGAATAGCCGCCACCCAGCTCCGCGTAAAGCCGGGAATCGCCAGGCGCCCTCCCGCCTTCCCGCACGCCCCCATTATGCGAAGCTGATCCCACTTTGAACAGCTTCAAATCCCGCCTGGACTCTGTTTGATTAGATTGCCAACCCGGGGTAATCCTTTGATTTGGTGGAGTGTCAATTACCTTTCTCTAAACATACATTTGCCGAGGAGGGGACTTGTTGGTTTAAATCAATGCGGCTTGTTTCTTGATAAATAGGCTATGTGTCTCCCCCCCCCCTCCCTCTCCCAGGCCCCTCTCCCCCTGGGTCCCCTCCCTCCCCTCCCCTGCCCTGCCCCGTCCTCTCCGCCTGCCGGGTCAACAATGCCCCTTCCTTCCAGGTGTGAAGCCCAGGAGGGAGAGCAGCGCCCCCTCCCCCCATTCATTCTCCCCCGGAGCCTAATTAAATTTGGCAGGTCCTTGTACACACAATCAGAACAGCTTCCTCCTGGGTAGCAAACGACCGAAAACCGCATTAGCAGCCTCCGCTGCTGCCAAATTAAATTGTTTCCCACCTCCTCTTACAAGTGTCTAAAACTGACACTCTCCCTCCTTCCCGAGTCTTCCCCGTCACCTTCCTCTCCGCACCTGTGAGCTCGAAGCTTTACACACGGACTGAGGGAAAATGCAAGGAAACACAAACCTGCCTCCTCTCTCAGACACACACCTCTGCCCCCACCGAGAAGCCGGCACATTCCCGGATGGGCTTTGGCATGGGCAACCTTCTCCCCCCTCCTCCCCAGGAAGAGGCACACTCCTCTTTTTTAATCTCGTTACTTTTCCCCTCGTTTCCTATTAATTGTGACCTTGCTGGGCGTTCTGCTTTGGAGAACAATGTGGAGCCCCGGGTCTGATTCGGTCAGTTTCAGCCTAAGTGTACACATTGCCAGATGCATGCTGGAGGCATTGGTGCTATTATTGCTTATTGCTATTATTATTATTATTATTATTATTATTATTATTGCTTATTTCTTCCCATGCACTCCTTCATTCCCCACAGAAGACTGGTTTGACTCTGTGCAAACGCCTCGCCTCTCAAATTTCCTACAAGCGTCTCAGGTTAGGAAAATCTTGTTCTTTTTCGTGCCTCCTCAAACCCTTTCCTGGTTGGGTCCCTGGCCTGTCTGTCCCCTGGTCCTCCGGGAAGGGGCATGGAGGAGCGTCTGTCTGAGCAGATGAGGGCAGCGGACTGTCCACTCCTCTCTCCAGGTGAGCAGAGCCTGGCCGGAACCCCTGCGCGTAGCGGGCTGCACAGTCTCACAACCAACAATCCTAATAACTCAGTCTTAACAAGGATAAGAGAAAAAAAAATATGAACAGCCTCATGAATATCAGCCCAAGGGGAGCAGGAGTGAGCTGTTCAGAGATGAAAGTGCACAGAAATAAAAGCTCAATTTAATCTGCTTTAAAACCCTTCAACTGAACGTTTGTGCTTCAAACTCCGAGAGTGAGGACTGATTGCGGATAAATAGTTTCTTACCATGCCCGGAAGCTATTACACCCCTCTCCTACACCGCTTCCCATTCAGCGGCCCCAGTTTTCATTACCAGCTCTAATAAGTCTTAACGTTATTAAATGCCAAGCGGACGGTAGGAAAATGCGGGCTCAGGGAGGGATCTCTCTTTAGCGTTTAAAGAGGAGCGCTCTTAAACCCCTTCTCCCCGGGCTCCCCACCAAGAGTGGGGCAACCCTGGAGACAGCGTTTGTCAAAAGCAAGGAGCCGAAAACAAAGTTTGTGGGTGTGCACCCTCCCCTCGCTCTGCCCATGGGGCCTCTCGGCTTCTCCCCACCTGGTTGATACGGGTGGAGGTCGGGAGGTCTTTTGGTCTCTACCTTGGCCATGAAAGGGATGTCTAGGGCCTGGGAGAGAGGTGAGTGGTTCCAGGTGGGCAGTTCACCCAGGTGCCCACGGACTGGCCCAGGTACCACACCAGGAGCTGATACGATTTATGCAGACAACTCTCCCAGCACACAGCCCGTTTACACTACACCCATCTACAACCACACTGCACCCCCACACAGAATCTCACTGGTTCAGAATATAACCCGACCCAAGAGCCCCTGGGCACAGTCACACCGACAGACACACACGCCTACGTGGCCACCTAGCTCAGGTCGCAATGCCCAACATGCCCGCTGTCACTCAAACACTGAGACCAGGCTTCTCCGAGACAGGCCCTGGGCTTTCCTTTCGTTTTTGCCACTCCACAGGCCCAGGGCCTGTGCTCTCAGCTTCCCATGGGGACTGCCAGGCTCCTCCTTCATCCCTGGAGACCTGGGCTTCTCATCCAGCTGCAGGGAAAACCTCTATCCAGCGAACTGCGGGCCTCTCAGCTGCCTTTATAACAGCCCAGACCTGCACCCGAAGCCACTTCGGACGCCTTGGAGTCAGAGGGATTCCCCAAACCACACCATCTTTCCACCCTCCTCATTTCCTTTTTTTTTTTTCTCCCTCTCCAAAGAAAGGAGTCTATTGTGCTTCCTTACAGATTGAGCTGGGCATACCCCCACCACACAGACAGACAGACGGCAGACACAGCCCTAAAGTTTCTCGAAATAAAACCAAATCTCCCAGCACTTCACCCAGGGTCCCTCCCTCCCACAAGAGCTGCCTGCTGTGCAGGGTTTGGTGGGAAAGATTATTCCAGTTTTATGTCTTCCATCCCACAAAAAACGAAGCCCAGCTAAGTACCTTTCCAATACAGACAGAAATAAAGACTGGGTCCCCCCCCCCCCCCATCAGCACCACCAGGGGTGCAGGGCTCTGGGCAACCTCCGGAGAGCCAGGGGCTGCTTGGCAGGCAGGGCCCCTCCCACGGAAGACCCAGGCCCCTCGGCAGGCCCCGCGCAGCGGGGTGTCAGGCACAGCTCCCGCCCTTTCTTCCCTCGCCCTTTTGTCCCTACCGGACAGGGTTCTACTTGGGGCCCTGCATGTCAATAGCCCGCTCAGTCCCCGCTCCAGCTGCTCTCACAGGGGGCTGCCTCTGCCCCGCTCCCTCCCCCTCCAACCCGGCCGGTGGGGGCTGGGCCTGGCCGCGCTTTGTCCTCGAAGTTCACCTTCAAGGTTAGGAAAGGCCACTGGGCCCTGGAGAGAGACCTGTGCCAGGAGTTCCCCGGAGGCAGGAGAGGGGAGCCTCCACCGACTTCTGCCCGGAAACTCGCACACAATGTGCTCTTTGCAAGTCCCTGCCCTTTCCCCAAAGCCGCTGTTTTACAGGTTCCCATGGCCACGGCCTTTCCCGCTGCCTCCCGGTGGGCGTGGGGACCTGGGGACCCGCTTCTTTTCCTGTGAGCCGGTGACTCCGGATCTTCGGCTTCGATTTCTCCCCACGCCCTCACATAAAGCAGGACACCTACTGCGCCTCAAAGACAACTTGAGGGGTGGGGGGCGCGAGGGACTGAGGAAGGACTTTCCGGGCTCCTAAAATTTCTTGCCTCAATGAACCACAGAGCCATCCGCTCTCCAGGAGGCGAAGGCGCTGGGAGGATGAATGCCTCCTCTAGTTCTCCTCCAGGAAAGTCAGGGTGCTGGTTAGACTCCAGTCCGCCCAGAGGCCACACCTACAGCACCCCAATCCCTCTCCTTTCCTGGGATCCTGCTCCCAGCTCCTAGCCCCGCCAGAGGCGAGCTCCTCAGCAGGTCTCCCCTCTGCCGCCCTACTCCGCGCCACCGCTATTGGGGGCCTGGCAGCTGCATCGGGAGGGAGGCAGCGGCCCACGCAGCCCGAGCTAATTTTTATTGATTGCGCCGGTCAGTCAGCTGTCAGGCGGGGTTTCAAGGGACCGTTTAGAGAGCGTGTGCAGGGCTGGTTAACAAATTCATTTAGGGAGCCTCAGGCCGGCTCCTCCTTCCTCGCCCCCCCCCCCCATCCCTGGCCCAAGTTTCCTATAAATAATAGATCGACCAGGGACCCGCAGCCAAACCCAGTAACCTGCAGCCCAGCTCCCCCGCCACCGGCCCTGCACCGGGCTCCGAACACACCGAGGGGGCGCCTTCCCACACCCCAAGAGGCTCCTGGCTGCTCTGGAGCCGCAAGTTCTCCCCGAAGTTCTGCCCGCCAGTCCCGGGCGCGGAAGCGACGCGCAATAGAGTCACCCGGGCAGCCTGCAGCCAGCGAGTCACCCGGGCCGGCCCGCAGAGAGCATGCGGAGCAGCGGGGCCCGCGTGGCCGCCGGAGGGTCCCTACCTTTGTCGCCCAGGATGCCGTCGATGCTGTGCTTGGCTTTCTTCTCCCCGTCCTCTTCCTTCTTGTCCCCGTCGTCGTCCTCCTCTTTCTTCCCGAACTTGATTCTGAGCACGCGGCTAATCGAACTCACTAAACCTCAGAAAGTCAAAGGCAACAGAGCGAGTATAAGTTGTTGGGGCGCGGGGCCCGCAGGCCGCCGGGGCCCTTGGGAGAAAGTCCTGAAGCCCCTTCCCCCTAATACTCTGTCCCGGGATTCACGCCCACAGGTCACATTTACACGAGGACAGAGGCCCCCGTGGGCAGGCCTGGCGCACACGGGGGCATGCACTCTGGCAAGACTGGCAGACACAGCCAACTGTGTGTTCCTGCCCTAGACCCATCCTCGCCCTCACCTGTGCCTTTCACGTTACCTACTGGGGTGCACTCACACCCACACCCCCTTCCCCAGGACCCCCCTGGAGGCAGGCCCATAGCCCTAGCTGTTGCAGCCACCTGCAGGTGTGACCCCCCCTGCCTGCACCAGGGCCCATGCACGCACTCCCTGCAGGCAGCCTGGCACAGGACCACAGGACGGGGCCTCACTTGGGGACCCACTGATGGCTGGCGGCAGCAGCAGAACAGACACCGGTGTCTGCAAGAAGGGGGTCCAGGAGCCCAAGGAGATCAAACCTCCTGGGACAGCCCTGTCTCCAGGCCACTTTCTAGGGAAATGCCAGGGAGCGTTTCTGCCTCTTCTTTCCTCCCTCCCCCCATCTCCCTTTCTTCTTTCTCCTTCATCTATCTCCTGTGTCCTCACTGTCTCTCTGCTCCTGTTCCCTCCCGACTTTTCTCCAAGTTCCCCACCATCCGTCAGCGCCCACACATCCCGCCCAAATCCCCAGCGCCCCGCAGCCGGGGCGGGCACACTCTCCCCTGCTCAGCTGCCTTCTCACCTGAGGGCACGGTGCTGCGGTCGCAGTGGCCGTCCTTCAGCAGCCGGTCCCGGATCTCCCAGCTGAACATGCCCGGGTTCTCCCGCTTGTACTCCTCAATCTTCTTCTCCACGTCCGGGGTCGCCACCTGCTTCAGAGGTGGAGGTGGGGGAGCAGGAGCCGGGAGATGGGGTGGGGGGGAGGGAGAGACTTTTAATATCAACTTCCAGAGAGCCCCAGGCCAGGCCGGTGGCTCTGGTAGGCATGCCCTCCTCCTGAAATGGGCTTTGTATCTCTTCAAGGAACCCGTCTGGCTCCACGGAAGGCAGTGTGTGTGGGGGGGGTGTGTGTGGGGTGTGTGTGTGGGGTGTGTGTGTGTGGGGTGTGTGTGGGGGGGGTGTGGAGGGAGAGAGTAAAGATAATGAACTAGAAACCTCCCCAGGACCCACAGATCCCCCTCCTCACTATTTCAGACAACACTGAGGGGGACCTTGTCCCTGGTCTGGGATGGTGACAGGGGGTCGGGACAGATGTAGGGACAGCCCAGAAATGACTCCCTGGCCTCAGAGTCCCAGGCCACCCAGACCCCCGTTTTCCCATTCCTGTGAAATTCAAACGATGGGGAGGAATAGCTGGGGGGTGAGGACTGTATTTTCCATACGAAGCCATAGTCGCCCGGATGGCACAGCATGGTGACAGGGGCCAGGAACCCCCCCCCCCACCACCACCACCGCGGGAAGGAAGGCCTCCGGCCGGCTGCTCTAAGGCAGACACTCACTCTGGGCTTGCTGCCGCCGATGGCCCCGGGCCGGATGGAGCCGGTCTCCTGGTAGCGGCAGAGGATCTTGGACACGCAGCCATGGGACACGCGCAGCTGGCGGGAGATGACGCAGGGCCGGATGCCATGGTGGGCCATCTCCACAATCTTGTGGCGGATGTGGTTGGGCAGGGGGCGCCCATTGATGAAGACCCCGCCGAGCTGGTTGACCCTGCCCTGGCCCAGCGGAGTGGACACTGGGGAAGGGAGGGGAGGAGAGAGAGGGCCGCAGGGTGAGGGTGGGGAGGAGGCCCAGGCTGCGCGCCTTGGCTCCAGTTTTCCTGGAGCCCCAAGACCTCTGACAGCGCTGAGCTCCCCACGTTCCTTAGTTGGGAGCTGTGGCAGGTCAGTGATCAGAAAGAAAAGTCCTGAAGTGGACGGAGGGTCCTGCAGGGACGGAGGGGGTCACAGCTGGCTGCCCCAGTCCCCCGTGCAGTCAGCCCTCAGTCCTGCCACTCTAAGTGGAAGGACTGGAACCTCTGAGGAGGGCAGGGGGAGAGAGGGGGAGTGTGGGGGTCTGGGACCATGGCTCTCTGGCCCCCAGGGTGCAGCTTGGGCAGCGGGTTTTCCTGGCAGGACCTGGGAGGCAAGATGTGGCCCATCCGGCCAGCTCCTCACTCCAAGAGGTCAAGGGGCTTCAGTGTGTCGGGGGCCAGAAGGTCTGGTGGATGGCTAGTGTTGACAGCCCCATTTAGCCGCCACCCTAATGGGACAGCTGAGGACAGGTGATGCCATACCATCCCCCCTTGCCTCTGGGGGCACCAGTCAGTGCCTCAGGGACACTTCTTGCTTCTAACCTCTCGCCAAGTTCTAATTTCGTTTTGGGACGATTGGGGACCTACAGGCTCCGTGTGAGCAGGCAGTCTCCTACAGGAAATACCTGCTTGGGCCCAGAAGTGCTCGGACCAGGCTTGCGGGCTCCAGCTCCGGGAGGTGGCACCCAGAGGGCCGGGGTTCCTGGGGGTGGGGGTCACTTTGGGAACCAGGAGGACGGGCCCTCCCTCCGGGTGTGCGCTGGAGAGGGAACCGCTGTGCCTGGAAGCCTTCATGCAAAGTCTACACAGTTTGCTCGGAAGGTTGGGGGACCCCCGCCGGTACACTAATCCGGCCTCGATCCCCCCAATTTGGGGACTTGGCGGCTGCGGAGATCCGGCAGATTAGAACGATTTCACAGCCGCCGAGGCGGAGGAGCGGAGGAATAATTGGAAGGGAGGAGGTGAGGAGAGGCTCCGGCTGCCGCGCGGTGCCTGCCGCCTCCCCCCTCGCTCCGGCGGTCCCCCCACCCCTCTCTTTGCAAAAAGTGGGTGTCTGAAGCCACCCTCGGATTTAATCAGGAATCGTGCGTCGCCTAGCCAGAGTCCCTCGGTCTCCGCGGCGGGATATGCCATTCGCGTTGGAGGGCCCTTGAGCGCCCAACTTTATATTCAAGAGCCTCTTGAGCGCCCGGCGCCCGGCGCTCCTCAGTATTCTCCGTCATGTTGGGCAAATATTGTCCTAATCCGCCGCGCGTCCCGGCCGCCGCTTCTCCCCGCATTCGCCACGGGCGAGCGCGCGGCAAATCCCCGGGCCCGGCGCCCCCCGCCCGCCGGCCGCTCGCGCGCACTTGATCACGGAGCCGCTCTCCTCGCCGCCGGCGTCCAATTCCGAGGCCCGCGCCGCCGTCTCGCTGCCGGAGGGACCCCCCTCCCCTCTCTCCTTCTCCCCGATCGCAGGCTGCCCGCCGGCCCATCCCCGCCCGGCCTGCCTCTCCCAGCCGTACGCACCAGGGGCCTTTAGAATCACAAGAAAAGTGATTAAAAAATAAAAGCCGCCCCTCTCCGTGACACCCCGGGCTACCTACCCCCGGGAGCGGAATGAGTTCCCAGTGGACAGGTTGAAGACCTTCCATTCGTTAAAAAAATAATAAAAATAAAAAAATAAAGAAAGAAAGAAAGAAAACAAAACAAAAACAAAACGAAGACGCAGGAAAGGGTCTGGGCTGCGCTTCCTCTGCGCTCTCCCCGGCCGGCCGGCGGGGAACCGGCTCCGTCCTCTCTGCTCACCCAGGCGCTGATGTTGGGGAGGACACATCACAAAATGAACGCTCCCTCTGGTCTGCACACCGCGGGGCCTTCTGAAGGCTCTCTCCCGGGTCCCCAAGCCCGAGCGAAAAGTTTGGCGGGGAGCGGGGGGCGGGAATCCGTTACTAGGTATCGTTTCTAATGAGTTTGTTGCAGACCCCAACGCAGGAGAGAGTTGCTTTGGCAGAAGCGGATCGCCTTCCCCGTTTTTAGATATTAAAATAGCACGCACGCTGGTGTTTCGGAATAAAAGGGATAGGGAGACAATCCGGAGAGGAAAAAGAAACATTTTAAAACCAGAGTAGGACGCCCGTAGCCTGGGGATGCAGAGAGCCAGAGCACACCGGAGGAGGGGGGAAAGTATCCGAAAACAGAGGGAAGAAAGGCAATTCCCAGGGACCTGACATTTACCCGGATCCCCCGTCGACCGGGTCAGCTCTGCGGGGGAAAGGCAGGAGCCTCGGACCCTGGAAGCTGGGGCCGATGGGGAGTGAAACCAACGCACAACCCGACGAGGGTCGATCCCAGGAACTCCCTGGGTCTGGCGCCCGGACTTGGACCCAGAAGGGAAGGGGACCCCGGTGCTGCCGCCGCCACCCCTCCCTGGAGACGGCCACCTCTCCCTCCGGGGACCTGGCGTTCCCGGCGGCGGAGCGAGGCCGGGCACCCCGCGCCTTACCTTCCAGCGGGAAGCCGGTGCGGGGGTAGCTCTGCCCGGGCGCCGGCCGCATCATCCTGGGCACCGCGCCGGGGAGGCCCGCCATGGCCGCGCCGGGGACGGACGGCTCCGCGGCCGGCAAAATAGGCGCGTCCCGTCCTCTCTCTTCACCCTTGCTGCTGCGATCGCTTTCTTCCCTTCTTTTTTTTTCTTCTTCTTTTCTTAACCTCTTCCCGCTCCCCTACCCACACGCTCTGCCAGCCCCCCCGCCCCGTACCCCCGGCCGCAGCCTCCGAGCCCAGCAGCAGGGGAGGGGGGAGCGGCGGTGGGGGCGGAGGTGGCGCGGGGAGGAGGGAAGGTGGCGACGAGGAAGTTCAGACAAACAAACACGCCAGCCAAGCCCAAGTCCGCCGCTGCCCCTCCGCTCCGCCCGGGAGGCTGTGCGGGCGGACGCTCCGGGCGGGCCGGCCCCCGGCCTGGCGCTGGGACTGGCGAGCGCCGCGCTCCCGCGCTCCCGGCCAAAGTTTCTGAGCCGGGAGGCTGCGGAGCGGATCCTTTCCCGTATTTATTTATATATTTATTCTCTCGTCCTCCCTCCCTCCCCCCCTCCTCCGCTCCGCACTGGTCTCCACGCCTTTCTCCGGACCACACTCCTGCGCCCTTACGCGCCGGCTCTCACCCCCGCCCCCGGGGCGAGCGGGGAGGGGAGAAGGTGCCTCGGGGGGTTCGGGGCCCGAGGGGAGGCGACGGGGGATGCCGAGGGGGCGAGCGGTGCTCTGGGTAAGTTGTGCAAAGTGCTCCGCTGGAGTACGAGCAGGAGGAGGAGGAGGAGGCCGCTGGCGGAAGATCTGATAGGTTCCGACTCCTCTTTTATTGATGAGGAGGGAAGGGAGTCAGAACCAATAACGAAAAGAAGTTGCCAACCAATTTTTTGTCCCCTATTTTCTAATCCCAGACTCGACCTGGTGTTGGGGGGAGAATTGGAACTGCCCGGTAAAACCCAGGGGATTGTAAAGGCCAGGGGATTGGATGGGGGGGGGGGGGGAGGGGTTAACTTTGTCCCAGCGTCTCCTTTGGACGGATGGGTGGCCCCGCGGAGTGCCGCCCCCCCCCCCCTGCGCCCAAGGCCCTCGCCCCCGGGCTGGCGGCTGCAGGGAATGTCTGCCTCGGCTCCTCTGGATTCTCTCTCTCTCTCTCTCTCCTCCAGGGTCCGCGGCCTCTGCATTCACATCTCCGTTTTCTCACTCTCACACGGAATTTTCAGAGCGTGGGGCCGAGGGTGAGGGCAAGGGAGCGATTTATGACTTTCTCTGGAATCAGTCAGCTCTGAGTGACCAGGCAGGGCCTGGTGCTTAAAAAACGGGGTCTGTAGGGTGTCAGGGACGCCCCCTCTTCCATCGCCCCCCCCATCATGCCCTCATCCCTGGCGCAGCTCCGCGGGTTAACACCCTCATCCTCTCCGCCTGCCAGGCCACACCCAGCACTCATTTGCAGCAGGTAGTCGGGTTCCCTGAGGCTGAACCCCAAAGAGGTGCCGTGCCCAGGATCTGGGGGTCCAAAGGGGCGGGCGGGAGGGAGGGGGCGAGTCAGCACTTGGTCCCACCCCAGCTCAGTGTTTGGAGGGGACACGCCCCAATGGCGCGGTCAGGGGTGGGGGTGGGGTGGTCAGAGAGGCCCTGACATTCTGGCGCTCCTGGGCCTGAGCGACTAGCTGCCCCGGCCCATGGACGCTGAGTCCTGGGGGCGAACCGCCCTCCCAGCGGGGCAGGACGCCGCGGCCGCGGGCCTTTTGTCTCCCCCGGGAGAGTGTCTCCAGCTCAGCGCTGGCGGCGAAATACAATAAAATAAACCAGCCCGCCCTCTCCGGAGCGGGGTCAGCCTCCTCTTGGCCTGGGGGCTTTCCTCAGGCTGCCCCCGGTGCCCGCTCCTCCGCTTCCTCACCTGTGACCTCTGCCCCCTCAGCATGAGACACCCCCCCTCCAGGCACCGGGGCTCTCAGCTCCTGGGGGAGGTGCCCTCTGGGAATGGAGCCCATGGAAAGGTATGAAGCCACCGCTCCCGGCCCCCAGAATTGAAAAGGGGGACCCAGGGTGCCTTGTCCAGACCGGGGTGCCCGCTGCCCGAGTCATAGGGGTTTTCAGGTTCCGTTCTTTGTTGGCAGCGCCACTCCACTATGGAGTGATGGAGGGCCACTCCTGCCCCAGGAGAGACTAGGCCTGTGTGTGTGTGTGATGTGTGTGTGGTGTGTGTATGTGTGTGTGGTATGTGTGTGGTGTGTGTGTGGTGTGTGTGTATGCGTGTGTGGTGTGTGTATGATGTGTGTGTATGTGGTGCATGCGTGTGGTGTGTGTGTGTGGTGTGTGTATGGTGTGTATGTGTGTGTGTGTGTGTGTGTGTTGTGTGTGTGTGGTGTGTGTATGGTGTGTATGTGTGTGTGGTGTGTGTGTGGTGTGTGTGTGTGGTGTGTGTGTGTGTGTGTGTGTGTGTCTGGGAAAGATGAGGTAGACTTCACATCTCATCCTGCTGGAGGCTCAGGCCTGTCTGGACCCCCCAGAGGTGGCTCTCCATGGCATGTGCATGCATATGCATGCAGCTATACACATACATATGTTACATATATTGTTCACTCACTCATGTATTCACTCATCACTGATCTCCCTCTGGGCGCAGAAGGACTCAGGGCGCCTCTGCTCCTTCCCTGAGGGAGGCAGCCAGGGCCGCTGTGTAGGCGGGGTGTGTGCGGCGCTGCTGGAGGCTGTGGCCAGGGGGAGGGCCTGTGTGTATAAGCGAGCATCTGTGTCCGTGTTTATGTCTTGGCGTCTCTCCCATGTTGCCTTAGTGTAGCTCCCTCACTGTCCAGAGGTGTAAGTGGTGTTTGGAGAAAGGACCCTGGCGCGAACCTGGTGCGGAGGCCAGAATACCGTCCTTCCTCTCCGCCTTGGCACTGGGCCCCTCTCCCAGCGGGTGGGGCGAGCCTAGAGCAGGACCCCGGGGTTCAGGGCCCACAGCTGGGCAAGCAGAGCCACTTAACCCGTGGCACGGCTCCTGCCCTCCCTGGCAGCCCACTCTGAGTGGCGGGTCCAGTAGCAAGGAGCCCGCCCCCCTCCCCCCTTAGCCTGCTCCCCCAGACCCAACGCTGGTGGGCCAGCCCTGCCGGGTCACAGCCTGGGGATTCCGTGGGCTCCCGAGGGGCAGGTGCGGGGCGGAGGGGAGTGTGTGTCGGAATGAGCGTGGCTGGTCTCGCCTGCTGGAGACCAATTTCACAAATGATTTTTGCAACAATTAAGAAGTGTGGCGGGTGAAATGGCGATTTCACATCCAGCAGGGAAAGGGGGTTCACCTGGGAGGGGGGCGGCTTCGGCTGGAGGTGGGGCTTGGAGTTTCCCCCTCCTCTCAGTTCCCCTCGCTCACCTGCTTGCCCCAGTGCACCCCCACAGAGACAGTAATCAACTCCTAAGACCCCCAGTCACCGCTGTCAGCACTGAGGGCCGTCCTCTGCATTGCGGTGCTGGGC